TAGTTACCCACACTGGTCCCCCACAACCTTGCAGAATGCCTGTCACACCACAGAGCTTCTGTATAGCTTCTGGTACTCCTTTGTGATCTAGCACATTGATACTCACAAAGGTGTGCTCAGATGCAGAATCTATGACAAAGTTGCACTTTTGGCCATCCAGCTTTTCTGTCACGTAGAGACTATGTGTGCTTGCCATTTTACACTTAGCTGTTGGGACTTTCACAATGGGAATTGGTGGGCATCTCTTAACACCAACCACTACTGGTTTCCCAAAGCTTACTTATTGGTAGTATTCTTCTTACACTGGCTCCTCATATGTCCTTGCTCTCCACAGTTCCAACAACCTTTCCTGTCGTGGCATCTTCCCTGTGCTTGAAGTTGCAGGTATTGAGCTTTCTTGTGCCCAGGTTTGTTACAGTGCCAGCATAGTCCCTCAAACCTCTCTGAAAGCTGACCTTTTCTGGCCTTGAATCCTGATGACTGTACCAACCTTGGTACCTCGGTGCTGGACTTAACATAAGATTCGAATTCAAGAGCTCTGGCCATTGCATCCTGCATAGTAGAGGGGTGTGCTTGCTTTACTTGTATCTTCAGTTGTGGATGTTCCAAGGCATCTACAAACTGATCCCCCAGCAACAACTTGAGGAGATCGGGTGATGCAGTTGGGTAGGCCTTGTGTGCCATACTTTCTAAATCCTGTGCCAGCTCTTGCAGGCTCTCCCCTTTAGCATGGACTCTCATCCTAAACCTAGCCTGTAGGCTTCTAACTGATTTTGGGTTCCATACCTGAGTTCTAGAGCAGCTACCAGTGCTCTATAGTTGTGCCTGTCCAAGTATTTACAGTGGTTGTCCCTTCAGGTTCGTTACCAAGTACACTGCTTTCTGGTCCTCTGTCCATCCGTTCATTTCTGCCAGGATCTCAAATTGTGCCCTATATGCTTCCCATGGTGCCTTCCCATCGCATTCCTGTGGTTTCCTTCATACTAGATCACCCCTATTGCTGACACTCATGTCTGAAATGTGACTTCTGGCAGGACTGAATATGTCTGCATTAGGGTTTAGCTGGAAGGGGCTTCCCGATGTCTGGGGCTGATTATGTCCATGGCTAATATATCCTCCCTGTGTAAGAGACAGTAAATCGTCCTTTAATGTATTTAATTCACTTTGAAATTTATTAATATTTTCCATTTGTGTAGGCTGGCTTTCTCTCAACTGTTGGAGACGTTCTTCTTGTTTATCTTCTTTCTCCTCCAACAACTGCTGCAGTCTCTCTTCTTGTTTATTTTCTCATTCTTTTTGTTTATTTTCTTTTTCCTCCAACAACTACTGTAATCTCTCTTCTTGTTTCCTTTCTTTCTCCTCCAAACATTGCTGTAGTCTCTTTTCTTTCTCCTCCAACCACTGCTGCAGCCTCTCTTCTTGTTTATTTTCTTTTTCCTCCAACAACTCCTGTAATCTCTTTTGTTTATTTTGCTGTTCGAGCTGCCACTGTTGCAGGTTTTCTTGCCACTGCTGTTATCTCTCTTTTTGTTTCTTTTCTCGCTCTTCTTGTTTCTTTTGCTGTTCTTGTATTGCTGCCATCAAATCTGCTAAGTCGTAGTTTGATTTGCTACTTCTGGTTTCCATCTTCTTTTTTTTCTTTTCAGTCCCACTCCCTGACATCAATTTGTTTTCCATCTGCTCGTTTGTTAATTTCCGGTATAAATTCTTTCCAAAGAACTTCAGGGATACAAGTCATTTCTTATTTAAAACTAGTTTATTCTTTCTCGGTTCAACTTTGTAATGCACAGAATTTCCACAGTCAATATGTTTGCAATCTCGATAACAAAGCACACACTTTATATTACCGTCACAACCGTTCGCTTGACTCAATTATCTATCTCTTCTGAACCCGCTGGTTTTTCTCGCCAGGCTTCTATAATAAAAAAGAGGACGTCTAGCAAACACTCGGACATTCGTAGGGTTCCTCGTTAATTCATGATCCTTCGAGAAACTCGAGAGCGCATGCTCCCAGGGTCGCGTGACTTCCGCTGTCGTAACAATACTTTAGTGGTGTGGTAGTGTGATAAAGAAGATATAGTCGATTTTACTATGTACCTGAACAGTTCTGAACTCGCTATTAAGTTCCATTATAAGATTGAAGAAAACAGTAGTTTACCGTTTCTTGAAATATTAGTTATGAAAAATAAATTAGAAGCTACTGTTTATCGCAAACCTTATTCTGTTATCATGCCACCACACCAATAACCATGCCATACAAATTCACAAATGTCAGCTTTCAATTTTTCAGTTTATAGGCCTTTAAGGTTATGTTCTCAACATGAAGATTTAAAAAACGAATTGATATTAATTAAATATAGATAGAGGTTTTCACCTAATGTCGCGATAGAACTGTTGAAAAATTTAGCGAAATGAAATTTAAAAGCAAAATCATTTCCTATTCGTAAACCTTTTAATAAAATTAATCAAAATATTGTTTGTTTGTTTTGAATTTTTCGCAAAGCTACAGGAGACGCTAGCCATCCCTAATTTAGAGGTGTAAGACTAGAGACAAGGCAGCTAGTCATCACCACCCACCGCCAACTCTTTTACCAACGAATAGTGGGATTGAGCGACATATTATAACGCCCCCACGGCTGAAAGGGTAAGCATGTTCGGTGGGACGGGGATTCGAACCCGCAGATAGCGATTCGAGCTCCCTAACCACTTGGCTATGCCCGGCTGTGTCAAAATATTAAATGAAACTAAAGACGTAACAAATATAATGGGGGCGTTCACAAAACTCAGTGTGCGAGTGGTCGTGCATACAATGGTCAAACTAAAAGAAATATAAAGTTTAGAATAAGAGAAATGTTAAAAATGAAAATTCCCGCATTAGCCAAGTAAGTAATACTGGTGTTACGCCTCCGTTCGTTAAATAATTTTCCGTATAATTTCTTTCTGAAGAAACTTTAGCGATACAAGT